TTATATATCCGCCCCCCCCTCCCCCCCGCTCGACAGGTGTTTTTTGAGGGAAAAAGAAGTCGAGGAGAGAAGGGGTCGTATGAAATCTTTCATGAAGGAGGGGGGTCGTAAAAATTTTCGAAAAGTTTCAACGGTAGGGTTAACCCTGCCTCCACACGACCCCCACCACAGCCATTGCCTTCGTGGTCCTTACATAAGACTTCTGCCTCCCCGCAAGCACCTTCTAACCACCTTCATCGAGGCACAGGATGCATAGGATGTGTGTAGGGACTCATCAGCCCATTGTATAAGCTAAGTGAGTGCAGCTGTTGTAGGACATGAAAGAGTTAGACCTGGTTGTATGCCGTGTTTCCTGCGAGTTTACATTGCTCAGGCGACCTAGGCAAAAAGTGAAGTGCGACTGAACCTGAGCAATTCCCCGGCGATGTTTTTTAGTTCTCTTTTGGTCAAGATGTACAATGAAATCGGTTGGTGTTGAGATCAAATTTGACATACTATTTTTTATGACATTTCATTCCTTTGAAGAAGGTTCGACGGAATTTTTTTCGAATTATTTAATGGCTGTCACTTTATCGATTTGAATAGCGAGCATGATAGATGAGTGTTTGGTGTTGCTTACGGACCTTATAATCTTACCTTTAGACTGAGTCGAACGGAGCCGTTTTCCCCTAGTGCTTGAAGTCGTGATTCGGGATTTCTAGTCAAAATTAAGCTTCCTCCTTTCCTCGATAAAAGTGTGGTGATACGCAAGCGGGGAAGGTGTGCACAAATGTCACCATAATTTGGCAAGGCTGAAGCACTAAGCCCCGGGATGCAGTATTGGCCCCGCCCAACACCATAGACTCCACCCACAAATCAATGCTTTCGCTTTGCCGCTTCTGGGGAGAGGACCTTATTTTCTTCCTTGTCGACGGTTTCTTCTCGTTTTTTTTCATTTTCTAACTTACACCTTACAATCCACTTTCCAGCTTATTGTGCGATATACCAGTTTATCCCAGACTTCGCTTTTAAGGCTTGTTGCACTTCCATGGCTGAAGGTGAATCAGTGGTGAGTGGCGCACTGACACGCTTGACTTGCAAAGCAAACGCCGAACCTAATCTCGCGTCAGTGGCGAAATGCGTCGTGTCCCTGGTCTTCCGAGAGCGGTTATGTTTAAGGGGCTGAAGCTATGTGTAAGGGCAAACGTATACCATTCACATACATAGGTCGTCTTCCTATTCATGGGTTGGGGTCAGACCGGCGGTTCTATTCACAACACAGGAATTCTTAATCGTTTATTCATGGCGCATCCTTAGTCTGGATTAGAACAACATTTGGCGGGGCCGCAAAGCGCAGGGACCCTAGCGGACTGCGCGGCTAACGCTAGGTAAAGAAGAAGAAGATGCATGGCGCTTCAAGGCTGATCGGCATTAGATGTTAGCGCTGCTTTGACGTCCTTTTGTCTTTTCCCAGCCACGCCTCTGTTTTATTTTTTGCGATTTCATTTTGAATAGGAAAGTTTACGTATATTCCATTCTTAGGCGGGCAGGCGTATGATTTTGCGCAAGTGGCGTTCTGATGTTGCTGAGTCACACGGCAGACGGTCGGTGCATTTAAATCTGCAGTTGTAGCCGCGTTCACGGACAATTCCGCTTCCCTCCGCCCCCGGTTGGTCCATTAGTATCATATCGGTCTGAAAAGCTAAAATGAGTGTCTCTTTTACATCGTCTGGGCCCGCAAAATGTGTGTAGGCTGAATCGCATTCAAAATGGGTGCTAGAAATCTGAATAGAAGTAGAATGCGTGGCGCATCTCAACAAGGAGGATGATCAACGTTGAGTGCTCTATGCTTTACCTTTCTCTTCCATTTTCTCTTCTTGGTTACCCAGGTTTCCAATAGCTTCTCTGCTCGAACGTATTGTTTTTATAACAAATTTGTCAGTTTGCGACCACCGAGGCCAAAAGTACTCATATCGCTGCTTAAAGGCACGGATCGCGATCTGATCCATAGAGTAACTTTCTTGAGTGAAGCAGCAACTCCTCTCATCTCAGGGTGGTGGTAATGTTGCGAGTTAAAGTGCGCGCCAACGAAAGCCAATGCTCACGCCTGACAGCTGCAACTGGGCCAACCTTATCAATCGCGGCACACGTGGCGTCTGCGCCCTCTCGCGTACGACGTGCTCTCTCGCGTTTTCCCTCTCCTCGCAGCGCTGTGTCTCTCCGTCATACCACGGCCGATCTCACAAGAAAATTTCAATTTTTTCTGTGATGCTTTTTGCTTTCTTTTCGCTTATTTCAACGTTCCTCGTTGCACTTCTCAACAAAGTAACACCCCAATTTCATCGCGACCTGTGCCTTTAAATCAACTATCGTGCTTTGAGGCTAACATTCTCATTCAGGTGTATCATAGTGTGATCCTCGTCGGGAATCATGCTTAACATCCCATTCCTCACCAGGTTTATACAAAAGACTGTTAAAAGGCAAAAGGTTTGTTACTGTCGTGATCTCTTTAGCATATGTTCTGTACCGCTTGATTTTTAAGGTTGCCGATTCTGTAGACTATCTCAATTACTATGTAACGTCAATTATGTTTGCCTTTTTTGCTTTGGCCATATCAGCGAAACAATATTTTGGATCTCCAATACAATGCTGGGTGCCAAGCGAATTCAGAGGTTAGTCTTCTATCATTGTATACAAGTTTTTTGATATTTTTCAGCAAACCAATGTATTATGAAAATTCCTGCTGAAACGTCGCATTTCTTGTAAGGCAGGATCAGTCGTCCGGGAACATTTCTAGCGGAGATAGTATTCGAAGAAATTGGAGGGGTCGTTTATTTAGGGTATTTTGAAATTCTCAGGGAAATTCCGAAGAATACGTGAAATGGGGGGGGGGATCGTACATCATTAATAGTTATATCCCCCCCCCCTTTCCCCAGCTTCCTGCTTTCAATAGCATTTTGCGAGAAAATGGGGGGAAGCTGGTCGTGGTGTCACATCAATTCTATAGAAGCAGTTATGTGGTAGAGCTGATTTGGTCATTCTGTGGGTGAACCCCATCTAGCGTGGTGATGTGGGGGGTCTTATAGAACACACTAGAGAAGAAGCGCGTGCCGTGTTTCCCTAAATTTTTCCTATCTTGACCGCTGTCGGTTCCGATAACATTTTTTGTGCGTCTTCTCCTGTCTCTCGCTATGCATCACCGCAAAATTTCCATAGGGTTACTTCCTTAGGTTACGAACCTAAAGGCATATTTCGTGGTTGAATAGATAGGGGTTTCTGTGCTCGAGAATATTATTATAAATGTACTTGGGCGGAAGTGGTGTAGTGTGAAGTGGCACGCTTACCACGCGAGCGGTCCGGGGATCAAATCCTGGGTCGTGAGTCGCCCGGGCCAACCAAGCCTTCCATCCCTCCGGGGTCGGTTAATTGGTACCAGACTTGTCTGGGAGGATAAAAACACTGACTTGTACATCGGCTGGCCCCCGCAAGTCATTGTATAGGCCACATCGCATTCAAACGCCACTACGAATGTACAAATGGAAGTAGAATGCGTGCCGCATCCCAAAAAGGGATTGATCAACGGCAAATGCTTTATCCTTTTTACTTTATCGTAAAAAGTAACGAAGAACACAAAACTTGCACATTGAATCACATAGACGCCTGAATAGGATGAAGCGGGATTCTCTCCCCAGGGTGAAAATCGTGTCGAGTACGTGGTCGCAGAGGTACGACCCCCCCCCGAAATCGAGATCCTGGCACGACCCCCTCTAACAGAGCAAATTAATTCAATTAAAATAAATCCTGCAAAACAAATCAAAAAAAATTCTGCAAAATAATGCTAAGGACGCTTCATCTTGTCATCTATGCACGTCTTCCATCGCTGCATACTTTTGTGTACATACTGAAATATCGACTCGAGGAAAGAGGCATTAACTTTGTGTGACCTCAAGGCGAGGTTCGTTCAGAAACGCACAGAAATCCTGAAGAACACGGGGTTGCGATTCAATCTTGATTCTTGCTTGAGTATATCAAAACAGCCGAGTGTATCAAAGGCCGATTCAACGGCAGCTGCGGCGCGATTGTCACTGGGTCAGATTTGCCGAAATTTCAAAAAAAAACGTCCGAATCTACACCCTCGATGAAAAGGTTGCATTCCTCCATTTCACAACCTTTGAAGCAGCTTGAGGTAGAGTTAGATAGAGCTGGATTTCGCGTTTCCAACAAGCATCGAAATTGCTCTGGAAGCCTTCCTTGCAGAAAGATAGGGTCTGTCAAATTTCGTCGAGTAAATGTCGAGGAGGCCCAAATTTTCACGCGAGTTTTTGCCACTTCAAGAGCAATATATCTCTTATATTGTAAGATCCTGAAAAAGGGAAGATAGTTTTGGAAAGCGGAAGGTTTGCGCTTCCTGATGGTCTGTTTAGTTTTCTTCTACAGCTTTTTGGTTGAAGAGATAATTGCGTCGAGGATCTATCGAGGTCGGATCCGGCCACCTGGAAATCCGCTCCCTCATTCACCATTGCAAGTGTGACTCGTTGCAACACTCGGAATGTGTCTAGAACAATATCTTTGAACGCAAACAATAAGAATAGGAGCAATCGTCATCATCCGATTTGGTATTGGTATAAGCCATGCATCCCTCCTCCACTCACAGTTGCAGAATCGATTGAAAGGTGTTATATGATGGGGACCTTCGAACGAAACTGTATTGTAGTAGACATAGTGTGTTGTGCTATTCCTGTAGCCTAAAAAACAACTTCATTTGCCCAGCGCTTTTTCTTCACGGTTGTCGTTTTTCCGACAGGGTCCCTAACAACAGCGTCATTCTCAGCGAGGTATTAAGGGAGAAGGAGCGAGTGATAGGCGGAGGAGGTGCCTTTGCAGCGCGTGCGCACATGTGGCACTCTTCTTTGCGGGGATGCACTTTCATTCTTTGTACTGCCTTCATATACGCCCTTCTCATGAAGGTGGAGGAATGGAGCGACTGAACCTGCAAAGAAAATTTAATATCATGTTTTTTTTCGGATGTTTTCATTTTCTGCTGCGCTATACCCTATTACCTATCTGCACCATGATACCACTTCTGTTACTGACCCCCAAGAGTACGACCCCCCATGGACCAGCCCAACAGGTACGACCCCCCTGTCGAGGATTTCCTCGACCGATATTCACCCTGGTTTCACTGCTCTACCGGGTATCCAATGCAATCAGCTGTTGTCTTTGATGTAGATGCTGCAAATATACAACGAAGCTAGAAGGGTCATCGAAAATTTCCGGAGGGCCGAAGCGCCAAACTTCCGAAACGTGAGTTGGAGCCGGGGTGGGGGGTGTGGAGTCCAGACGCGAGTTGTGGAGGTTTCAGCCATCTTTCCACTTTTGCTGTTGATTAATGAGTCAGATGGACCATAGCACTGCAAACACAGCGTTTTCGGCGCACGTGGGCAACGGGGGGTACTTTATTCAATGCACAGGTTATGTCCTTTAAGTAACTTCAGCTGTCATTAGATTTGGTCACAGCGGCAGAAATGTAATGAACAGCTCAGCGGGGGCGTTCGCCCAGAGCGCTAAGTGACAAAACCACTGACTGGGTCATTGGAAGGGACCTGATTCGGTTCATTTGAGAACTGGCTCTGCTGGTGGAAGGTTGTTCTGGCGGTGGGGCTGAAGGTGTATTGTGATATCTGAGGATGATCACGGAACAATACAGCTGATTTCTTTAACTTCTCAGCCCAGTGTAGATTCGCAGAGAGGAGGGTGCATGGTGAGTTGGGTGCTGGCGCACGAAAGTATTGGTTTGCACAGTTCGGATATCTCTTTTTTTCTGCTGAAATTGCACAAACGCTGTGCATGTGATAAATGAATCTTTGAGAGTGCAATTCATTATGTCAACACTTTTGTGTTTCGAAGGAAGCGTTGAGCAAGTAGTGTCTCGAACCGGTTTTCTTTCATGTAGATCCTTGCACCATTCGCTGTCACCGTAATGGAGAGATGGCTGTGTTGACTTTTCAACTGGTTTTTCACAATACCGCAAGGGAACTCTGTGTTTACTGCCTCCTTTACATAACCAAGTCACTCAAAATTCATTGAGAAGCCCAGAGGGCTGAGAAGTGATCTTAGAGTTTTCAACTGTTTGTGCTTCGATATTTAGCGCTTCTTTATAAAACCACTATTGTGCCTCATAATCGATCCTTCAAGGAAAGTGCTAAACACTGGGATGTAGGCAGATCCACTAAAGAGCCTAAAGGCATGGCACCCAAGGCGGAAGTCGTGTGAACGAGCGCTTCGGAATGGAGCCCAAAAGGACAATCACAGAGTGGCATTCTTGTGCATGGAAATCGCCCAAGAAGGTTGAGGCCTTGCAAAGACAGCTTCAACAGCTTCAGTTTTCCTCGTCCGCAGCAGGCTGTTGTCTGGCGCCCTCTCATCTGTTGCGCTCTCTCGCCTCATACTTGACTCTTTTCGCTCACTCAATCTCTCACTGTGCACAACCCATCCAAGTAGCTCCGCCTACCAGGAGTGTTGCTAGAAGCAGCATTGTTGATTGTAATTTTGAAAAGGTATTTCCATTTTGAGCGGCCACGTCTTCCAAGTTTTCTATGTAGGTGTTATAAGTCAAAAGGTGCGCGATGGTGGCTATCGGATTAACGCGTGCAAACAACCTCCTTAGTTGGTTGCCAACTCGTCCATTATCGGAGGTCAACGGGCAAAGAAAGGGGTCCCATTTTGCGCGTTCTTGACGGATTTCTTTGCTTTTTTCGCTACTGGGCATTATTCAGCATCCCCACTTCCACTATGAATCCTACACAATATTATCATAATCCCCCACTTCAGAAGCTCAACCCACGCAGAAATTGGTCTGTAGGATAGGCCCTCAGAGATCAAACACACTGGCCCTTCTGTGCATGAAAATCACAGGGCTCAATCAATCAATCAAGGGCGCTAGGGCCTTGCAAAGACAGATTCAACAGTTGGACGGGTAGTTTCGTGAATGGCTTTCCTCTTTCCAGGCTCTGAAGAAGGCGAAAGCGCCGAAACGTAAGCCAAATAAAAGTTGTTATCAATCTTGGTTGGAGCTTATTCACTATACTGACATATTCTCTACGACTCATGCCAAGATTCATTGAGAGTCGCACATGGAAACTGCTTCAACAGTTTCACTTTTTCATTCCGCAGCACGCTGTTGTCTGGTGCCCTCTCATTTGTTGCGCTCTCTCGCCTCACACTCTCCTCTCCGCGCTCAGTCTCTCATTGCCTTAGCACAGCCGCATTACGAAGGTGAGCAAGCCCTTAACCTGAGCGTTTTCGACGGATTCTTTTCCTTCTTCTTTACTGCCAGCCCATTTCGCACCAACACTTTCATATTCGTTGCAAGAACCAACCTGTTTGATCCTGAGGCATGCTTTCAACAGTGTATTTTAGTGACTTTCTGACCTTTACCTCTTCACTATGCTGCTGTCACGTTGCACAATTAATACAACTA